AATACTGTGAAAACTTTTGTAGTTGTAAAACAAATTTGCGTTCTGTTTACTAGGCTTCATTGCGATGTGCTTCCCATCAAGCGCTCCCATGCATAATGGAAATTGCCAAACTCTTTCAAAATCCTTAACAATTTCTGACCATTCCGCTGGGGACTCCGGAAACTGAAAAATAAACCATTTTATATAAGAGCTATTCCATCAGTGCGGGTAAGACAATTTTATAGCAAAATTTTAGCGAGCTTTTTAAATTAAACTATAAATTATACAGATGAGCTATATTTTAATAAAAACCGTCCATTATCCACTTATTTATGATTAACTAGCAGGCACAAAAAACGCTTACTTAACTTTATTCAAGAATATAGCGAGTTGATTTTTGTGTCACGGCTTGGACTGAAAAGCGAATGAAAATTTTGTTGTAAAATTATCGCCTTAAATCGGAAGAAGTAAAGAAAAGGGGAGCGTTGAGCTAGAAAAGAAAACAGTGGATATGGTCCGCCCCTTTTCCCTAAGTTTAATGACATAAATGTTTCTTAGTGCGAATTAGGGATTAGTTTTCAAAATAAAAGCTCTGAAAATATTTAAAATTCCACTTTTTCCCTCCAAATTTCCACTAAAAAATATATATACCATTTAACTAAGGGAAAAGGGGCGGACAACATCCAACAACATTCTTTTCTAGCCCACAGCCCCCTTTTCTTTATTTATCAAAATCAAAAAATAAAAATAAATAAATTTAATTGCCTTTAAGAATGCGTGACGCATATTGTTGTATATGGCAGAACATACTTCTATAACACTTGTACTCAAATGAGCCAACGAGAATTTAGTGTTTTCTGCAAGTTTTTTGAAACATTCTCCAGTGGCCAACAATCGCAATGTTACCGCTAATTTTTCATTCACAGGTATGCAATTTCGCAGCTTTGTATCGCATCTTTCAATATCTTTCCCTATATAAGATATAATTTGGCAAAATTCGCTTTCATTCATTGCTAAAAAGCTTTTAAACGCCTGGGAATCGTCAAAAAATTGATATTCCTTCAAGAGTTTCTGGATATCTCCATCAGGATCACGAGACTCTCTCCAAGGTTTTATCCAACAACGTCTTTTCTTTTTATTTAGCATTTCTTCTTCTATAATTGCAGCTGTTGCAGCGCAAATATTATAAATAGCTGTTCCTGCTGCTAACACAAACAACTTTCGCTTTCTTTCACAATTCATGGTGGAACTAGACGATGGAAAAAAGAGGCTATTCTCTGCGACAAAATGTTGTATTTTATGTCGCTGCTCCGTGGAAAACTAGAAAAAGGAGCCTTTATTACTACATACTCACACTTAGCTAATTAAAATCCTTACCTATAATTTTATTACAGCGTTAATTGTTGTATTGCACTTTTTTTAATGACAAATTAGTTAAATTGCAACTCGATTTTCAGATTGAACGGATTGATTTCCCAAGCGAAAAAGCATAAAAAAGGAATACAAAAACAGTGTTGGCGTCGCTCCTCTAGTATTTTCTTTTTAATTCATTTCGCTGAAGTGATTTGCAGAGATGGCAGGTATCGACTGAGCACAAATTTAACAAATACACTCAAACGTCCTATACGTATACACATTTTGTTCTGCTATTATTCTGCTAGTTTTCATCCAGTGTGAAACCGTGAGAATAATTGTTCTGTCATTCTAGTGTGAAATAGCCCAATAAAAAGTAGAACCTTTTATTGTGGTATTTTTCCGATCAGTTTAGTTTGGTTGAAATTGTTATATTTGTTAGACTTTTCTGATCTAACCGTTGTGTAAGTAAAAATACTTTATTTAGCTTTTTCCCGACGTTTCGCTAAGATTTTTAGCATCTTCAGTGGAGTTTTTTGTTTATTTACCTGCGCAGCAATAAATATAAAACATTAACAAAACAACCAAAACCAATAAACACATGAATCGATGTAGAGAAAAGAACAAAAACAAGATTCACATTAGAAAGCTTAAGAATAATGCAGAAAAGGGACAATGCAATGAACAAGAAAGAGGATACTGATGACATCCCTGCAGTTTATTTATTATGTTTATAAATTATCAATAACATTCAGTTTAGACAAAGTTACCACAAGCGTTGGTAATGCTATTTAGTTTTACGTTATAAAGTTTAATGTTAAATACTCAATAACTCAATAACTCTTTTGTGTTAAACTTAGCAATTTGTTTTTTATGTATTCATATGTTTATTGGTTTTTGTTGTTTTGTTAATGTTTTATATTTATTGCTGCGCAGGTAAATAAACAAAAAACTCCCCTGAAGATGCTAAAAATCTTAGCGAAACGTCGGGAAAAAGCTAAATAAAGTATTTTTATTTACACAACGGTTAGATCAGAAAAGCTGTTGAGTTCGTTTGAAAGATAGTGGATCCGCCTCGGTTATAGATAAATAACCCAACAACCGCTTGCTCTTTAATAACTATTTATTCGACTTAGCTATTAACAAAATTTTACTTATATTCTATGTTCGAATTTGTGGTATTTTTTTGTACATATATTTTTGCTTGTACCAGTTGTTCTGTCCGCCAAGAAGAGAAAAAAGGCGCGCGAACTCTCAAATCAATCGCGAATGTCAAACCAAAACAGAAAGAGTGTTAACTGGGTTGCCATCCGCCCTGAACCAAATTAAGGTGACCAGCTCCAACATCCTGCCCGACGATGATGTTCACTCGGATATCATCCTCCTCCTACTGCAGCAAATTTGAAGACGGAATCTGTAACAGAGGAAAGCTAGTGCTAGCGATATTAATGTGCGGCGTTAGTTACTGGATTCCAGTTATCCTGTATAGGCAACGGACAAATTTTTACCGTCGGGCGTTTCACGATCCCATTTTGAGTTTTCACAGAAACAACTCGTACGAGCTTATCCGTTCCTGGATGAAGTTCAATTATTTTTGCAAGTGGCCATCGGTTACACGGATACCTCTCATCCTTAATCAAAACTATGTCACCGATCTTTAGGTTAGGGTTTGTTGTTAACCATTTAGGACACTTTTGCAAGCGCGACAAATACTCGGTACTCCATTGTTTCCAAAATGAATGTACTAAATTTTGCCCATGTTTCCACCGCTCTTCGAGACTCAGACTGTTTGTTTCGACAGACGGCAAAGCCTGAAAGGAATCCCCCACCAAAAAGTGTCCAGGTGTAAGTACCATTAAATCATCGACGTCGCTTGTTAATGGACATAGCGGTCTCGAATTTAAACAAGCTTCGATTTGCGCTAAAACGGTATTGAATTCCTCGTAGGTCAGCTTCTGTTCGCCGATGGTTCGTTTCAGGTGGTATTTTACCGATTTCACTCCGGCCTCCCATAACCCCCCGAAATGGGGAGAGGACGGTGGTATGAAGTGCCAATGAACTTCCCTTTCGGTCAAGTGCGGAAAAATCTTATTCTTTATGAAATGCTGATATGATGTCCGATCTGCTTGAAGTTTTCGGTTCGCTCCAATGAAATTGGTTCCACAATCACTGTAGATATTCTTACACAAGCCCCTTCTGGCAATAAAGAGATTCAAGGCGGCGATAAATGCTTCTGCTGAAAGATCTCCTACAAGCTCCAAATGCATTGCTTTAGTTGCCAGGCAAATGAATAAAGAAATATAACCCTTTACCGAGACGCGTCCTCTTCCTTTCGAAGGCAGTATGTTAAAAGGACCAGCGTAATCGACTCCCACGTTCGAAAAGGCACGAGCTGGGCGAATTCTCTCCGACGGAAGATTCCCCATTTGCTGTGCACACGGCCTCGGATTGTACTTAAAGCAATTTATATACTTATGTATTATAGACCGAACCGCGTTACGCCCATTCAAAATCCAAAATCTTCTACGGACGTGATTCAAGGTTAGGGAAACGCCTCCGTGCAAGGTGCTCAGATGGCTATGTTTAATGATCAACTCAGTTAAATGGTGCTGGTATGGTAAAACAAAGGGATGCCTTTGATCCAACGGTAAGAGTGCTTCCCTTAATCGTCCTCCGAGCCGTATTATCCTTTGCCTTTCATCGAAATACGGATTGAGAGAAGAAAGTCTACTGTTATTCGGTAGTGTTCGCTGTCTCAAAAGTGAGTGCCAATATTCCGGAAAGGCTTCACGCTGTACCATTCCTACTATGCATATAAGACTGCGCTGTAACCCAGTAGTTGATAATGAGCCCGTTTTGCGAAGCCCCAGCTTCGGTCGACAATTTTTTCCAAATGTAATGCAGTACGCTGTTACTCGCACAGTCAATGAAAGTGAGCTCCATTGGTCTAACGATAAAATTTCGCTCGTAGGATCTTTAATACTCAAATGAATTTTCATGCTCCTTTTCTCGATGCTAACACTTGATTGCGAAACATCAGTATTAAATGGGGACTTCGGCCATTCTAGGGGCGGTAGCTGCAGAAATGAAGGGCCACGCCACCATAAGTCGCAATGAACGAGTCGTGATGGACTTATTCCACGACTTGATATATCTGCGGGATTGTTTTCTGATGCTACATAATGCCACTGACAGACTGATGTGTTTTTTAATATTTTATTAATTCGGTTCGATACGAAGATTTTCCATCTACTTGGGTCCCCCCGGATCCAATGCAGGACGATTGACGAGTCAGTCCACATGAAAATATTAGAGTGTTCAATTGCAATAGAGAAGTTAGTGATAATTATACTTAATAGCTTAGAAGCCAGAACGGCTCCACATAACTCGGCGCGCGGAATGGTAATCTTGGGGTTAACCTTACATTTCGCGGAGAGGATATTGATCAGTACCTTTCCGGTTTCGTTTGATCCTCGAAGGTAGGCCACAGCTGAGTGGGCGTGAACGGATGCGTCGCAAAATATGTGTAGCTCACAACCCTTTCTCTGATCGATCGCTAACCAACGTGGAACCTTAATTTGCGATATTTGGTGAAAACCTTCTCCGAATGTTGTCCAGCCTCTTCGAAGTTCTGGGGGTAATGTCGCATCCCAGCTACTTCGATTGCGCTACAACTCCTGCAAGATAAGCTTCGCTGATATAATGACCGGATTCAACCAACCGAGTGGGTCAAATAAGCGGGCGATGTTAGACAAGACGGTGCGCTTGGTTGGATTTTCAGTCTCAAACTGGAAATTAGCCTTAAATTCGATTTCGTCGGTAATGGGGTCCCAGTATAGTCCCAATGCCTTAATTGGATCTGTCGGTTTGAATTGCATCTTACTTTTTGACTGCCTGTGCTCCGCCGGTATGCCACTCAGCAGAGTTGGATGATTACTCGCCCACTTGCGTAGTTCAAAGGTAGCAGTTCGCAAAGTCGATATTGTTTCGTCTCGTACACGCAACGCAAGTTCTAAAGAGTCTCCACCGGAAAGTATGTCATCGACATACATTTGTTGCTTAAGTACCTTAGCCGCCAAAGGAAAACGTTCCGCTTCGTCCTGAGCCAGTTGATTTATTGTACGAATTGCCGTATATGGTGCGGATGCGGTCCCAAACATCACTGTCGAGCAATAATATTCCTGAATCGGTTCACCTGGTCTTTCTCGCCATAAAATGCGTTGGTACTGCGCATCTTCTTCATTAACGTCGATACACCGAAACATTTTCTCTATGTCTGCTATGAATACATATTTCATAGTACGCCAATTTGAAAGGATCGCGGACAAATCCTGCTGAAGTGCCGGACCCGTTGCTAGGATGTCATTTAATGATTTCCCGTTAGTGGTTTTCATAGAGGCATCGAACACGATTCGGACTTTCGTACTTGCTGCATCCATCTTTACTACCGGATGATGAGGGAGATAACAACATGTAAAACGATCCTCACCTGCGCCACCCGTTGAACAATGTTGGTCTTCAGTATATCTCACCGGTTTCATTTGCTTCAGTCGCAAATATTCGTTAATCGTATCGATATAAATTTTCCTTAAATCAGCATCTTTCGATAACCGACCTTCCAAATGGAGAAAACGTTTGAGCGCTGAGCTTCTGGATTTCCCGATAAAGCTTGAGGTATCAATTTCGGACATCAGCGGCAAACGAACAACGTACTTCCCGCTTTGCAGTTTTTTGTGAGTGCTTTGATATAGGACCTCACACCAATTATCTTCAGTAGTAAGGGCGCGTGATTCACCCATCTCCTCTAGCTCCCAGAACTTCCTTAATAAACTGTCGACCTCCATTTCCGTATTCGTAGACGAAAATGATACACTTTTCGGAGATTGCGAGCCCGTGGCATTTTTTCCCGATATGATATGATGGTAGTACACCACCAACCTTGGGTAAAACGTAAGCCACAGTTTGATACTGTATTTGGGAGTCTATTCTGGAATCTATTGTTATGTGCACGCAGAAACGGCCTTTGGTCACTTTGCTTCCTGATAATCCGATCACTTCGATATGGGCCTTCTCACAAGGAAGACCGAGAACCTGTACTGCTCTTTCCGACAGAAATGTAGCCTGGGACCCTTGATCCATTAGCGCTCTGAAATCACAAGGCTGACCGGTAGCTGATTTTATGCAAATAACCGCAGTAGGTAATAACACATCAAATCTCATTCGAGGGATTGGTTGGCTGGGAATATCACTCATCTCCGGTGTGGCAGCCACATGTAAAGCGGCTACTGCTGTGGGAACTGTGGCGGTAGGTGCAGATGCTGACACTTCTCGTTCTACATGGATCAGGGTATGATGCCGGCCACCACATGTCCCACAATTACGACGGCTACTGCATTTTGCGGACGGATGATTATATCCAAGACAATTAAAACAAAGTTTATACCTTTCCACGGCAGCTCTTTTATCGACGACGTTCATTTCTAGGAATTTCGCGCATTCCCTTACTGGATGATCCGATTTTTCGCATATGGGACAAACAACAGTCTTCTTCGCGACATGCATTGACTTAACTTGCTTCTTGCCGTACGGTGCCAAACCTTCTACTTTACGCTGAGAAGAGGTAATAGACTGCGCTTGCTTTGCGCCTGTTCGTGATGATGTGACCATCATGAGGTACTGCTCATCTAGAAGCGAACACAATTCAGAAAAGGTTGGAATACTAGTTTGTTTTCTTAACGAGCGATCCCACTCGGTGCGCAATGAGTTCGGCAGCTTCTTCACCATATAATATACAAGAATTTGATTTTGCTCCATTACGTTTATTCCCAGCTTCGCGATTGAATTTACACAAGATCTGCACGTTTGAGTAAAATGCTTTAACGACGCAGCATTTTCTCTAATCTCATCTGACTGCTGATCCAAGACATCCATGTAATGGATGAACAATATACGCTTATTATCGTACTGTTTACACAACATTTCCCATGCTTCTTCATAGTTCTCTCCAATAAGACTGACGTGCTCTATGTCTTGTGCTGCAATGTCGGTAAGAGCGGATTTGAGGTAATGAAAACGTTGCAGATTGTTCAAACTCTTATTTTGGTGAACTCGATCCAAAAATATTTCTTTGAACCCTGGCCAATCGATATATTTGCCACTAAAGGGGGTTAATTTAACTTCAGGTAGAGGTACTCCGTTTGACGCCAAAATAGTAGTGCTATTGTTTAAAGTAGGGGCTCGCCCAACTTCCGATGCAGCTGGGATGCACTTTTCTCGAAGAGAGTCCCGTATGCAGACTACTACGTCTAGATATGTCTCTTCAAACTGTTCACAAATCCCAGCGTCCACGTATGACTTGCGTATTTCAGCATTATTTGATTGGCGAACCAAGATACGATGATTGGCACGGAACTCTGTGCGGTATGAAGCCAAAGACTCCAAACGTGCATGGTGATAAGACTCAGTTTTACGTGACGATGAGTATTTCTTAAAGTTTCGCAAAGTTGTTTGTATTGACTGCATAAGAGCCTTTTGCTCTTCCACCAGCTCAATTGCGCTAAGATCAGTGTCTTTTTCCGCCATACTCAACCTAACCAGCACAAGAATATCAAAGCACTTACCTCGTGTTACAGGTTATGCGAAGTTGGATACCCGAATAGCCGCTGCAGATCCTCACAGGAGGCACCAATGTTGAGTTCGTTTGAAAGATAGTGGATCCGCCTCGGTTATAGATAAATAATCCAACAACCGCTTGCTCTTTAATAACTATTTATTCGACTTAGCTATTAACAAAATTTTACTTATATTCTATGTTCGAATTTGTGGTATTTTTTGTACATATATTTTTGCTTGTGCCAGTTGTTCTGTCCGCCAAGAAGAGAAAAAAGGCGCGCGAACTCTCAAATCAATCGCGAATGTCAAACCAAAACAGAAAGAGTGTTAACTGGGTTGCCATCCGCCCTGAACCAAATTAAGGTGACCAGCTCCAACAAAAGCCTAACAAGTAGAACCTTTTAATTTAGTACACAATTTGTCGAATGTTCTACAAAGTAGTATGTGACGTATTCTTAATGCTATTTACTACACTACTCTGATCAGCTGTTTTCGAAGATACTACAATTGTTCTAAAATGGTGTGAATAAAATTAGCGTATACTACAATTATTATGTAGCAAACAAAGCGGTAGACTACAATTAATTATTTCAGCTTTGTACTTTATGAATTATGGCTGCGTTTATGCAAATAAATGAAAAAGATCGGAAGTGTTATAAGAATAGAAGAGAGGTGGACGAAACAAATTTTAAAGCGTTATATAGATTTACTCCAGAGAACGTCGATTGGGTTGCACGTAATTTTTTAGATGGGGAAACGGGAGAAAGTCGCGGTGGTGCGTTGACCAATTGTCAAAAAATGTGAATTTTTTTTACGATATATAGGTGATCCTGGTTTCGAGGTAAAAATTGTTTTTTATATTTTGAAATTACACTTGTGTATGTTCATATTATATATTTATATCATTTGCTAGGTTGGTGTTGGTGAAGACATAGGTGTCCACCAAACGACAGCATGTAAAACTATCTGGTTTTGTGTGTTGTAAAATTGTAGCCAAAGCACATGATTGGATTCTCTTTCCATGTAATGAGACTGAGATGAATGTAGCTAAAAGTTTGTGGCTAAGTAATAATTTAATTCTACATACCATAGGAGCGCTGGACTGCACTCATGTGTGTATTATACGTCCCCATAATCACGGTGATGAGTTTGTCAATAAGAAAGGGCAAATATCTTTCAATATACAAGCTACTTGTGATTCAATTGGCAGATTTACCAGTGTGGACTGTTCTTGGTCTGGGTCTGTTCATGCCTCGCGTATATGACGGAATTCGTCAATTGCAAGTATCATGGCAGAGAATACCGCATGTGCTGTACTTTTAGCGGATGATGGATATGGCATTGCACTATGGATAATGACGCCATTCCGGAATCCAGAGACATACAACCAAAAGTTGTATAACAAAATACACACAAAAGAGCGCGTCAAAATAGAATGTGCTTTTTTCGGCCAAGTTAAGAAAAGATTCCCTATTCTACAATCAAAAATAAGAATGCAAACTAGACGGGTGCCATCAATGGTTTTAGCTTGCTTCATTTTGCACAATGTTTCGAAATTCCTAAAAGACGATGATGTTTGTTTCGACGCTGAAATTGGGAGAGAAGCCTACACCATTCCATCTAATGATACTATTACAGCCAATGTCAAAGAAAGAGGTCAACGTCGACGTGATGCAATCGTCTTACATTTGAGTGGTTAGCAAAATATTTTTAAGTTCCCTATCTCACAACTATTTTAGTTCCTCTTGAATAAAAAATGTTATTAAAATTTTAATTATATGAATATAGCTTTAGTTTCTATGTTGTTCTTTACATTCTAGTTTATAAACTAATTCGTCTAAGTTTTTAAATGTAATTTTAGCAGTTTCGTAGAAATCTTTTTGCAATTCAAATACGACTAACTGCCTTAGGAGCACTTTGCGTTGCAATTCGCCTGAGGTAATTTCTTTATTTTCAATTCTTTTAGGCTTTTTTGCTGACCACTCTATTTGTTGTTTTGGTACTACTCTGCTGCTGCAAGGCTCCTCATCCAAATAAATGCATTCTTCTTCAACAGTCCCATCTGTTGTATCGTTAGTGCCACTGTCTAAGTCGGGAACGCCAACTGAAACACCATCTGAAATAAGATTAAATAGAAAAATGTAATAAGTGTTTTGTTTTTGAATTATGCACAAACATGTAGATATATGTAGCTTACATTTATTTATTTTATTCCCAGTCTTGTTTTTGCTAGTTTTCGTTTTAATGCGAGCCTTCATATTATTTAGTTTTTAGAATTTGCTGGTCCGTAAATTCGTGCCCAGTCTCGAGTAATAAGTATGAAGACACTTCGCCATGGATAACTAGATATGAAACTCTCATTTTTTCTGAGAGCGCGCCCAGGAACTCGTTTTCGTATTTGGCAGCACTGCCAATCCCTGGGCAGATAAACAGCTGACACGCGAAGTGGCGAGCTACCACTAGATGTGTGGAAAATGCATCACATTGAATTCAGTGGATTTCTTCTTCCCGCATTTTTTAATATTACTATAAGACAGTATTTGTAACTAAACGCAATTTTCCTGGCAATATAGACAGTGAAATATAAAATAGATATGAAGAATATTGCAACTTTTGTTCGCTGTGTTTATTCAAAAGTTTCTCCATAAATTTCTCTATAAATGCCCATACCTTTTTCGTCACAGTGGTTCTACTGGAGAATGTTATAAAAAATACACACTTTGACAGCGCTCTCACGAGAAAAAGAGTTTCATATCTAGTTATCCATGACTTCGCCCAATGATTTTTTTTCTCTCCACTTTCATAGCAGGTTGCCGATTTTTCTGCA